TAAACAACACATAGCCTTTCATAAGGGGTGACACTTTAAGTCAGAGAGACATAGGGTGTCAAAATCAGAAGCACTCTGAACGATCCCCTAATATCCCACAAGAGAAGTGACTTCCCAAGGCCGTGTAGTAAGGTGGTAACAGCCTAGATCCTAGGTCTTCTCACTTCAAATCCGTCCCTTTCCTACCATGCCATGGTTCATTAGCATGTTCCTGGGGTTAGTTTAACAGACTGCTTTCCAAATAAGGAGGAAACATCAGGTCAGGGCCAGGTTGGCTCTGATGTAGGAGGTGGTAAAAGGAAGGTTGAACAAGGAGAGCACACCTTGGTATGGGGCCATATGGGGAGTTCTGGACAGTTAGGGCTGTGGGCATGGGTGTTATGGGGGGAGCCAAAGGGCAACTAGCTGTGTGATCTTGGGCAAATCACTTAACCTCTCTGAGTCTCAGTTTCCTATCTACGGTGATAACCACAGGGACTGGACGTGAGGCACTGTGAAAGGTTCTTTACACATGCTATGATCTTCACAGCAACTCTGTGGGGATCCCTCATTTTTAGAGATGAGAAACATTTAAGTGTAGAGAGGATGTTGTTTTAACTTGGACTGTCATAGCAAAATACAATAGGCTGGGTGGCTTAAATAGCAAACATTTATTTCTCACAGTTCTGGAGGCTGGAAGCCCAAGATCAGGTTGCCAGTATGGTTGGGTTCCGGTGAGGTCCCTCTTCCTGGTTTGCAAGCAGCTGCCTTCTTGCTGTATCTTCACATGACAGAGAGATCATCTCTCTTGTGTCTCTTCTTCTAAGGGCACTAATCTCATCAGGAAGGCTCCACCCTCATGACCTAATTACCTCTCAAGGGCCCCACCTCCAAATACCATCACATCGGGGACCAGGGCTTCCACATATGAATGTTGTGGGGTCACAAAACATTCAATCCATAGCAGATGATAACTCGTCCAAGAGTATGTAGCAGATAGTGGCAGAGCTTGGACTTGAACCCAGGTTAGTCAGACCTCAGGGCCAAGGCTCATTTCCCTGAGTCCATAATAGCTTGTTCAGTAAAAAGGCAAGGCCAGTGACCTTCAAGATCCATCACGCTCTGAAATTCAGTGCTGTAATTCTGCTGAATCCCTAAATCCTGATTGGGTCAGCTACTTTCTCTGAATATTGTTTATATCTTTCAAATAACACTAGCCATCTGAGGTAATGATATCTGTTCTGTACAAAACTTAACACATTTCAGACCCTCGACAAAGATTAAAGAGCAGGCCAGACAAGTGGCTTCTCTGGTTTTCAGGGAATAATGTACGTTCCACCTCTGAGGGTCACTTCATTCCTACTCTGAATCTAAGCACTCAGAGCCATAATGGCGGGAGGAGTTTATTCATTTTCACACAAAAGAATTGCCAAAGCTAATTACTAACAGATACGTGTGAGTGTTCGAGAAAGGGAACATCAGCTTATGGATTCAAAAGCAATTGAGTCTGTCTTTCTAGGCAAATGCTTCTCTAAAAATGATATCCATTTGGATTATCCCAAATACTTGATTACTTACCACCAGGAGATCGTGGTCAGATCTCATTTAGGAATCCTCAGCTATGGTTGAATCCTACATCCGCATGCTGTCCACATGTGTGAAAAGAACATTTCTCATAAAGACATTCAGCTTAGAAATACACATCCCTTTTTCCTAGAGTTCTTCTTTGTGGCAGTTATTTCTGAAGTTCAGGAGGTAATACCGGGCCTGTTTTGCTTCAGCCCTGTGACTTATCGACATATGTAATCATCATCCTGCCTTCCTGTTTGTTTTAAATTTAGAATTTTTCCTAAATAACGGCTCCAGAAACTCTCAAAATTACCTAATTAGTAATAACACTTTGCAAATGATAAAGAGCATTTCCCAGCTAGTTGATTCAGTTAGTTAGAGCAGGATGCTAATAATTAGGCCATGGCCACGGGTTTGGGCTCTGGCAAAGGTGTGACCAGGGTCTCAGGAAGGACCAGGAGACAATGTGGATGGCAGGACAGAGAGCCATCCCCACTAGAAGGAAAACAATATTACTATTGGGTCAGTAACATCACATTGGGAGGACAGCATACCTTAAAACAAAACAAAAACAAAAACAAAAGTAGGAAGGGAGGGAGAGAGGCAGGAAGGAAAGAATAGAAGGAAGGAATAGAAAGAAGGAAGGTAGAAGGAGGGAAAGATGGCAGGCAATTATTTAACTGTAGACAAGTTCATGGAGGTAAATAGAAAAGGAAGAATAACAGAAGGAACCAGAATCTGAAGCATGGCATGACCTTTAATCAGGGCTCTTATTCCTAGCAGGCTGTGAAGCAGCTTTGTCTTTACCTGCTCAATGGATCCCACAATGCTGATGCACCGCTTTAATTTGGGAAGGCTTTCTCTTGAGAGACATGTCTTTTCCAGCTCTAAGTATGAAGTGCTCCCAAGTGTGGCATTCTCTGTGACAGATGTACTACAGTGATGCTTTAGCTGACTCCAAACTCATAGCTTCCCCGTGCCTGAGTGGTCTATTTGATGTCCAAGAGTGTGTTTCCTTTGAGAACAGGTCTTTACCAGAATATCATCCAAGAAGGTAGGGAGGTATACTCCCTTTGTTCTATAACAGCCACGGTTAAACTCTGGAACCCAATCCCCACGCCAGGGCTATTCTTTCCAAAGTTCTGAAAGGTATTTGCTGCTGTACATGGATGCCTTAGGCCTATGCCTTTGGAAGGCACTGCCTGAGAGTGACCTGAGAGGCCTCTCCTTTCAAAATCTTCTCCCAAGGTCGCTCCATTTTCACTGATGGCCCCAATTCCAGGGGAGTCTCTTTAAAGAGAAGGAATTTCAAAATAATTTTCATAGCTCCAAGGAAACCAGATTACCCGGCAAACCTCCTGTCCAGGGATGCACTTCTTTGAGAAGTCTCAGGGTCTTGTCAACAGGGTCCAACATGTGACTGGCAGGACCAGCCAGCTGCAGACATGTCCATTGGTGTTGACTATACGTGTCTGTTCCTCACTCATGAAGCCTGGTCATTCTTCTCTGAATTCTAACCTTCCTACCATCAGGCTCCATTCTTGAAGGGAGGCAGAAATGCGACCACGGGCCATTTCTGTTGGGACACGTGCCACTTGTCTTCCATCCATTGTGGCTCCTCCTACCAGCACTGATGTCTGCTACAGGACACATTACTTCTCCAACTCTCTCTTGCCCATCCAAGACGAAGGAATTTGTCTTCATCCGCCAGACAGTTTGTATCCTTACTTGGTGCGTTAAGAAGATCAGAAAGGGTGAGAGTCTTGGCAAGAAGGCTTTTCCCATCATTCCTATGCCTATAACAACTCTTAAGAGTAGACAAATGCTTACTGCTGTTGAAAGTCAGCCTCTAAAATTCAAGGAAATTCCCCCTCTTGGACTTAACACTTCCTTTTTTGCATTTTTACTTGAGATGACAGTCTAACGATTCCACTGCCCAGAACCTGAGGAAAGAAAAAGAATTTGAAGGTTTTCTTTTCTTTATTTTAAAAAAAAAATGTGTTTGCTTATTGTCCTTTAATTGTAAATCATCTCTCGGCTTACTTTTCTTTTAGATAGCTTTCTGCCTTGAATTTGTTAATGAATGTCAGTTAATACTTGTTTAGTAAAGACAAACCATGAACAATCTAACGGTAATACTCAATACAGTACTGTGGTACAGTAGTTATTGATTAATTACTTGGGTCTTTTTCTTTGAGTTCTCTGAAAACTCTTCAACATGCAGAGAGCAATATAATCCTACAATTTGGTAAAGATGGGCTTATACATCTATAAATGCTGACATGCTGAAGACAATCTGTTCCTTAAATCCCTAAGCAAGAAGTAATCAGTACAGTAAGCTGATACCTGGCTTGCAGAGGAGAAGGCAGGGTGTGAAATATCTATGCCTCCCCCTGCCCCAGGCCATTAGGAACATTTAGACCATGGGGCAGAGTATCTATTTTTCTAGTGCAACAGGTTTCAATGATGAAATGTAGTGATTTCACACCAGACACAGACACAACACAATTTCCTTTCCTTTCTTTTTTTTAAGGGATATGTGTGATATATATTGCTGTTGTCATCCAAACCTCTTCTGATTTTATTTTTAAATCACATTTATTCCATTTTTTTCATGCAGAAAAGTATAAGGAAGAAAACTGTCCATCATCCCATTCTTAGAGAACCTTCTTGACATTTAAAAATAAATGTGATATGTTTACATGTCTTAAAATTTCGATCAGTATGGAGAGAAGCAAAATGAAAAAGCCAATGCTTCTTTAGTTTAATTCATTATGAGATTTCAGATTCTCTCTATCTGGGGACAACTCCAGGTATGTCCCCTAAGAAGCTACCAGATTTAAGAATAAAAGAACATATGTCGAGAGAAACCTAGAGGGTGGCAAGGGTGATCACACACAGCATAACGCTCCTTGTAAAAATCACTCTTGGATATTAACAGAAGGTGGCAGAAGAACTGTAAATGCTGGAAACTGATGGCCTGTTAGAAAGTCAGAGAGATGGGACAGGTTTGATGAGCATATTTGAAGTTATTGTACAGACTGCAAAGAAAGATTTCACCCTGTTTTTCAGGACTGGTGGATAACTTACGAATGAATGAGAAGGCAGTGACATGCTTCCCTTCATGCATGTGTAAAAAGTAGATCACAGAGATTATGGGGTCAGCTGACCATAGCAGAGTAAACTTTTATATGATCAGTTTCCTTGAGTGATTTTATAACACTTTTATAAAAAAGATAATAGTTTTGAGTGACCTCTAAGATATTCTTCTGGTGATGAGTTTCATGATATATACTAGCCAGACTTTCCAATTATGCCATGTATGTAAGTCAAAACTGGGATCCACATCTTCTCAGCATTGATAAATGAGAATGTGATAGTGCATGTCTTGACCACTCATTTAAAATAGATTGCAATCCTATTTCATCTTTTTTGACACTTTCCTTTCACAGATCATGAAAGTCGCAACACCTTCGAGAATTGTGAAATCACCATGGGATTTTGATTTTTTTATTTATAATGGTGTCATAGACAAGACAGCCCCGGACTTCTTAGCATTCAAGGAACATTTTAATTTATCTTGGGGAAGTATTTTTTCCCTCTTGGAACACATCGAGAAGTTTCTCAGGGACTATGCAATACCAGAAGTTAAAATAAAAGGGAACAATTTGGTAGCCTTCCTTCCGGAGTTTGAGCTGAAGAATAAACTTACCAGATATGACTTTCTCTCACTGTTAGAGAACCCACTTCGTATCCAGATGATGTTAAATCTTCCAGGGCAAAGGTACAAGGGCCAAGATGGAAGGTCAGAGGCTGCCAACAAGATCCAAGCCACATGGAAATGCTTCAAGGCAAGAAAATTCTTCCTCATCTATCGCCAGCAGAAGTGGGCATCGGGTGTGATTTCCATTGCGTGGCTCTTACATTGCCATAAGACCCGAGTGAAGAAGATCCTGATGGAATCACGTGAGAGACACCTGGAGAATTTCCGTATCCGAGCCAAGGTACACAAGGCTGCCAGCTGTTAAGGCAGACCTCTTTTTCTAGACATTTCTTGCTTGAGCGATTGCAATAAGTTGTCTCTTTATCTTCCCTTTCTCTCTCCAACTACCCTCCTCGTCAACCTCGCTCGCCTTCTGCTCTTCGTGTATGATGCACAAACCCTACATGTGTTTGTACATCATATTTTAGCCCTAATCAGGAATCTGGCTTTTGCACCTGTAAAATCTATTGCAATTTTTTTCTATAGAAAAAAAAAGTCCCTTCACTTTGACTATTGTCATTCTGTCAGAAAATCAATGTTTTAACTGCACTACCTTTTCTCCCTATATATACCTTCTGGCACTTTAATTTGCTAGGGAAAAAAAAGTCCTCTCTCGTCTACATTGCTGTCACCACTTTGTCAGAAAGTATTTAAGTTTGCAGACAGCCTTTTAATTAGTGCTCACAATTTCATTTATGTTTGCTTTCTCTTTTTTTCATTCATATTCTGTTAATTAAGTGAGCTGCCTCTAATCTTCCCCTGCCAGTAGCATCATGTAGCCACCTAATTAAATTAATTGGGGAAGATGTTTTAAGTATGTAATTAAATCAATTAATATAATTTATGCCTGGCTTAACTGTACAGTGGAAAAACAGCTGAAGTTTGACTAGATGAATCCACTACAGCTTCCTGTCACTGATCAATGCTCTTCTTGATTTTTAGCATCTGGCAGCCAACTGGAATCGCATCAGGACCTCCAGGAGGACTATTATCCATATCCCATCATTAGGTATAACACTTTTGCCTGCAAATCTATCAGCAACCTCTATTACCCACCACATTATGGCTCCTTGATTGAGTTCAAGGAAGGCCCCTTGTTTTATTCAAATTGGTCTCGGCAGGAAAATGTTCTCGACATGATGAGAGTAATAACACAGGGCCCTCGCTTGAAACGGCGTTTAATTTGGGGATTAAGCAAATAAAGTCATTATGTGGGGGCTGCTATTCAGTGGAGAGGTGATTTGCTGTAACTCGCTTTCATCTGTATGAAATGAACTAAAAAGTTGTATTTTTCCCCCTGAAATAACAGATAATGTTTTCGATCTTCTTTAATGATAGAACACAGGCTTGCATGTGTTGTTGCTGTTACGCCAATAAGCCAGGATATTGCTTGTACACTGTTTTTAATCAAATGTGCAGTCAAAATGATAAGCTACATTCTCTGAAATTATTTAGTTCTAATTACGAGCAGATGGGATGCTTTATTTGCACCTAGGGCGCCTGAGCAAAAGGAAATGCTGTGTGAACAAGAATAATTAAGAAGTTGAATAGTGTTTTTTGCGCTTAAATAATCTGCAGTTTCATGTTAATTAGCACTAATGTAATTATTTAATTACATTTATGAATTGGGGAACTTAAAAGCTGTTGTCTGCAACACAGTAGTAAAATAGGTATGCCAAAATGACACTGGGAATCTCAGAAGTCTGCACTGGAAGTTCCTTTAAAACACGAGCTGCTGTCAAAATGTGTGGGGTTGTTTGCTTGCTTATTTGTTTTGTTTTGTTTTGCTTTTTAATCTACCTAGTGTGCTAAAAATTTCCTTGGTGAGACCAAGCTTCCCAAGCTGACTTGGTATCACATCTTCGTATTACATAGGGCTCTTTGTTAAGGCCTTTTAAGTAGAGCGATGCATTAAGTGATCTATAGTAATAGAATTCTGGATTGCAATTTATTTGTGCCCCTCTGTGAGTATAAGTGTGTGTACTTATGCATAGTATAGAGCATAACATATTTAAACAGTAATATGAAAAAATAAACCAACACTAAAATTATTATATAAATATTATTATCTTTTAAATTAGTAAAATATTAGTAGTGATAAATTAATGCAAACTTTCCTAGAACCTAGAGTGCTTACAGAAAAGTTAAGAAAATATGGTAGAGCTGCACAGAGCCTTTTAGTTTGGGTCTTTTTATGGCTCACAGAAGAAATTAGTTCCTTCTTAGGATGTAAGTGAGGTAAGACAGATCTGAATTTCATTTCAAGTTGGGTTTTGTTTTGGTGGGACTAGTTTTGCACACAAAATTAGTTCACACTCAGAAATTGCACTTGTAATTGATTACCACCAGAGAGGCTAATTGCACACACAATTAACAGACTCGAGTCCCTTGGAATAAGGTGCAAGAGCCTTTTGCTTCTGCAACTAATTGTGGCCCTGACCTGGTATTATGTGGGAAATTTTGTTTTGTGTTCTCTATTTCATTCAAAACTAGAAATAGAACAAGACCCCCACTTTGCAATGTTGACAGCACGAAGGTTTCACAGGCACAATTTCCACAAACTCCTCCTTCTACCTGTCACCCTTCAAAACCCCAGGGTAGTCAGCCGTGCAGAAAAGTCTGATAGAAAAGAGCCGTTGTCCAAAGAGGTAATATTTTGAAAATAACGGGCAGTAATCTAAACTGGGTAATAAAGAATAATTTTAAATGAAAATGTTTTAAAATTCCAAAAGGGTTTGCTGGATATAGATTAGGTAGAAAAATAACCTGGTCCAAAACTAGAATTGCATTATTTTAGATCTGATATTAAAACTAGTTTTCTTCTATAAAACATATTCTCAGCTTAATTAAACACATAATAAATCTGAAAGTCTTCCATATTGTGGTAATTTTTGTTAACAACGTAATAACCCATTTTAAAGAATAATTGCTAATCATATATCTTCCAAGAGATAAGACTAAGCATATATATTTTTCTCAGCTGACCATTTAAAAAGCCCAATTACACATTTTCACAAGAGAATAATACATGGGCTCTGATCAAATAGTATTTGTTTCTATAACCTATGCTGTAGGTTTCTATAAAATAACCTGTGGCTATTAAATTAAATTTAGGTTTAAATAACGTTAACCTGTCACCTCATACTTATTCCACAGACATAATTCTCAAACCATTTAAAAAATGATTATGGTATACCTCTTTTGTGTGCACCACTTTCAGAATTCTTGAAGATTTTAGCTAGTCACAACATGCCTACTTTGTCTCCTGTACTAGGGACAATTCATGAAAACAAAAGTAGATAAAAGTAAAGCCCTTTTTTCCTCCAAACACGTGTCCCCCAAAATCTATTCAATATAGTAATTTTGTTTTCAGAGTTGAGAGGGATTCACTAATCAAAATGAGTTGGTAGACATGTAAGGTTCAGGTAGGCATTTAATACAAATCACAGCCTTGTCCGCTTTTTCTCTTTCTACAGGAGATTTGCAATCAATTCTGGTGTAGAATTAGCCCTAGAAATAATTACGCCATGTCACTAGCCAATTAGGGCTGCACTAACTTGTTTGAACCCTAAAAATGAAAGATTTGTAGCTGATAACTATACAGTATATTGCAGTTATAGGCATTCGGTTATTTGTTTATGCAGTTTTGCACACACAAGAATAATTGCATTCTCCAAACTGATGATCACGTAGAGGACCACAGTAATGTCTTCAGTAATGCCTTTGACCACAAAATATTTATCATGTATTTTCAAGTATATGGCTTGATAATATGAACATTAAGACAATTACACATTGCAGAGTACTCCTCTTTGAAAGGAGTAATTATAAAACTTGATTGACTGTTATGTATTTTGGGTAGTATTCCTAGATGTAACAAAGTTTTAGCTCTTTTTAACAAACAGGAGAGGTGGGATGCTGTTGATTAATTGTCCAAAGAAACTGATCAGCCTTGTAATTTCATAGGATGATAGAAAAAAACCTCATCCTTTGCAGAGTATATAGGCTAATCTCTTAATTGGATATTAGATATTTTTATCATTTTTATTAATGAAATACAATGAAATACAAAAATATAACAAAATAATCTACTATGGTTCATAGCAGGAATAGAATACTAGGGTCTATTTTAAGCAAAATCTATCAGTCAAATAAGAAAGAACTGCAACAAAGAATCCTAATACCTCTAGAAAAATCAGAGGTCTAAATAAAACCTAGGAACTAATTCTGCTTCCAGTTTCTTTGGCCAAGTTATTTCCTCCACTTTTAATTTAACCCCCATGCTCCTTTATTACAGTACATCATTTGGTGCTACACTTAAACTCAGTGACATTTTAAAATATATTGACATTAAATGAGATAGGCCAAGTATGGGGCTCTGATGCCGTGGGCAGGTATATGAGGCACCGCCAGCCAATTAAACCCCCCCAGTGATGAGTTTCCTCCCTTACTTCTCTTCCTCTTTTAAAATAAAAATAGGGAATTATTGAGGTGGGATTTTCCCTTTTCTCTATGTAATCTTTTATTTCATTGCCAGTTTATTTAATGGCTAAAAGGAATCTATATAGTTCAGCTTCATTTTTTTTTCCCTCTGTGCATTACTTCAGCAAATTATCCTTGGAGCAAACACCATTAGGGGTCTCCAAGATACTCCCTTCCATAAAGTTGTGGATTCTGTTGTTGTGAGTGTCGTGAAAGAACAGCATTTTTCTGCTGCTCTGTACTATCACGGAGGCCTTAAAAATAGGAAAACTTAGTATACACTAAGTTTTGTGTATAACTGACCCTATCCCAAATGTTCATGAGACAGTAGCTCCCTAACCCCACTCCCTTTTATGGAAAGATAAGAACCGGATGTCACCTCCCTTTGTGAACAGGGGCAAGGGTGGAGGACCACAGCCAAGAGTGTTACCTCTGAAATCACATTCTTACTATGTCTCCAAGCACACTGACATCTTTCTGCTTTCTCATTTTTGGGTTGACAACTCAAAGACACGATAGACTTTGTTCTTAGGGCTAAGAAATTGGGACTTTCAGTCAAATCTTCATGGTCTTCAACATGTATTTTGGCAAGTTAGCCATGGAATCCACAGTTCAGTCATGGCATTGCTATACTAGATCCTTGAGACAGAGGTACTGCCAAGATCTCCCAGATACAGTTCCCCAAAATATACACATCCTTTGAGATCAGAAACAAAGTGCACTTAAACTGTCCAATTCCTTTTCAGCCCGAATTAAGATGAAAACACATTGTATTCCTCGATGTTATATTCATCCAAGTAATTCAAATCAACACTCCTTAATTAGTTAGACCAGAGTTGGCCCCATGACCCTGTAATATTAAGTTACACAGTTGGCCTTGAGCTATCTGATGTTGCACCATGAAGTGCAGCAGCAGCACTAAACACCAGCTCATGAGCTCTTCGTGAAATGGATTAGTATTAGGATATGGTATAAAGAGTCTTGCATTTACTAAGATAAAACTATACTCTTTGTCATCGCCTTCATTGTCATAAAAAATATTAAAATGTTTGTTCAGCTCTTCTCAAACTTATACTTGTAACAACTATTGAGAACCCTAATAAGCATTGTTTCCATAGGTTGTATCTATCAATACATACTGTACTGGAAACTAAAATTGAGAAACTTTAAAAATATTTAATTTACTTTAAAACAACAACAATAGGGGTGCCTTGGTGGCTCAGTTGGTTAAGCATCTGCCTTTGGCTCAGGTTATGATCTCAGGGTCGTGGGATCGAGTCTTGCATCGGGCTCCCTGCTCAGCGAGGAGCCTGCTTCTTCCTCTTCCACTCCCCCTGCTTGTGTTCCCTCTCTGTCAAATAAAAAAACTAAAATAAAATCTAAAATAACAACAATGAATCAGTTACCAATGTAACCTAAATAACATATTTTTGTTAAAAAAACCTTTATTTTCCCAAACAAAAAAATTTAATGAAAAGAGTTGCGTTGGTTGACAAGTTAGCAAATCTCTTAATAGAACATGGTTAG